GGCCGGAGCGCTGCCCCCCTCCAGGTGCTGCCCCCCAAGCACATGCTTGGAGGGCTGGTGCCTGGAGCCGGCCCTGATCGCTGGTGCTGGATGGCAGGGGAGCCAGTGAGGGAAGCAGCAGCCACTTGAGGAAGGAACAGAGGAAAGGAGCCTTGCTGGGAAAGGAGCTGGCTCCTGGCAGCAGGTCACGGGCAGCTCAGGGGACGGCCACTCCTTGGGTGGCTCTTAGAATCAGCTCTGCATCCCATCCTGTCAGCTCGGCCTGGTGTAATGAGAAGCAAAGCAGCCCAGAAGTCGAAGCTGGACATCAGAACATATGTCTGATCTAGCAGGCAGTGGAATGGGCTGGATCTCCCATTGCTCGTGTGTTTAAAATGAGACAGAAGAGCGCACGGGTGCTGGACACTGGGAAATGGACATGCTTGGCCTAACATCTCTGATTCTTTTGAGCCTCTTACAGCAGCGACATTGTTATAGGCAGTGCCCTCCAGGTTCTCAGGGTATCAAGAGAGTATCCATAACCTCTTGGCTGTTTTACTTTCCCAGGTTTCCAAGTACCATACTTCAAAGAAGCCCTCTCCATTTTCAGAATGGGACCTACAACTATGAAGTCACTCTGGATAATCCTCTTTCTACTGGTGCAAGGTAGAGTCTTTGCTTGGGGAAAGGACAGTGTGAGGAGCATCCCCCGTACACCACGACAGCTCCTTGTCTGGAACTCTTACCCACGTCAGGCTGAGCAGGTGGCATTGGCGATCAGGGTTACAACATGAATCAGTCTGGGGAGTAGTGTTAGGTGCCCTACTTAGATGCACCCTCGCTTGCCTACATCTGCCTTCCCAATGGCCACATTTGGCTTGAAAATGGGGTTTGCACCTGGAGTGGCTATTTCAATGCCTATCTGGCCATTGTCAAACACAGGTACCTGTTTGAGTGTGCGCATGCACACACGGTACCTGCGTGTGTAAATATAAGTGTGCTATTGCAGTCACGTGTTTACACAAGTGGGGCTCTAGCTCCTTGATCATTTGGCTGTCTATGTGCTGAGCCCTGGGCCAGTTCTCCTCTAATCTGTATTGGCATAAATCTGGAGTAACCTCAGCAACAGTTACTTCCAAATTCTGCCCTCACTTAGGCTGTTGCAATCCTATTGACGTCAGGGTCGTTACCTGAGGGTCACCGTGGGCACAGTGTGACCCAACGTCATTCGCTACAGTGGGGGACTTTCTCGAACTGCCCGTAGCAGAGTTGTGCTAGGACTGAAATACCCAAAATGAGCTAGTGACACAATAAAAGGTCTAGTAGCTGAACTTGATATTCCCTGCAATCCCGAGAGAGCCAGATCACAGATGTCGCTGAGCAGTTGGGTTGTAAGCTGGGGATGTTAATGGGGACATGGATATTCTCTTCCCCCAGCTTATAAAGGACTGCAGTGGATTTCCTTCTGCTCTGAACCACTTAGGCTCCTTGGAACAACAGGTTCAAATCCCAGGAGAGTTGACTCTGTCCTTCCAAGACAGGGAAAGCGAGCTCCATGCAATTCACTGCTTGTGTGGCTTTTGCATGAGTCCTGTCTGCTCCCCATAGACGTTAAAGATTGCTTGACTTGATTGCTGTCTGTACCATGCTTTGTAGGTAACTGTCCCATCCGTACAGGGTGACTGTGCTCAAACTCTGGTTCCTTTGCAGGCACACGGGGTTTTCTCATTCAAAACGCTAAAGTCAAGCTGTGTTTACAAGCCAGCACGACAGATGAGAATTTACTTTTAGCAAACTGTAATCCCACGTCAGAGTTCCAACACTGGTCTTGGCAAGACAATTCCTTGATCAATCAAGGCACCAGGAAATGTCTGTCTACAGATGAAGCCAACAGCGTGCGGTCAAGTCCCTGTGAAAGTGCAGCACATGCAAACTGGGAGTGTGTTAATTTCACGCTGCACTCTGTGGGCAGCACCCCTATGTACCTGACTGCAGATAAGAATAAAGCCGCTCTGGCGAATACAAAAAGCCCAAGTTCCCGATGGCGAGTCAGTCGGGGGCAGAGCGTCTGTGATCAGAAGCCAGGTAAGCATCAGACACCAAAAAGAAAAGACACTCACTAAACACGTGCAACACTTGCTAACAATATGCAATGAGGTTGCGGTGTTCTTGCCATCCTGTGTATCGCACACAAAGGGGATCCGTAATCAGCTGAAAAATATCAACGCTGTTCACTAGACAGCTGTCTCCCACAAATAATAAAGGGCTTTAACAAGCAGGCAGATAGGTATTGATGCTATAGGTCCCATAAGGTGGAAAGTCAACTTCAGATTTCTGAGTCCCTTTAGGTAAAACCTCAGTATAAAAGAACTAGATCTAGTCTCATTGAACTCAAAGGAAGAGTGCCACTGACTTCCTGATTTAAGTAAGAAAACCTGACTAATAACATAACCTGACTAAACCATAAATAAGAAAACCTGACTAATAACAAAGATCCATATGGAGCAATCGCAAATATTTCTCTCAGATTCCTGTTCCTGGGACACCCTGAGCCACATTTTTAGCTCTAGGCTCTGTTTGCAGGCTCGCTTTTGCACATGCAACTGGCTGTGCCCAAAACCCGCATTTTGCATACTTGAGTTGCACCTGCACGAATGTACGTGAGAAACAAGAGAAATTCAGCCCTGTTAATCAGTAGCAAGGTTCTTCCATCTTGTGCATTTGCAACAGAAACTGACATCCCATCTATCTTTCTGTTTTTTCACAGCAAAGGCAGAGAGCAGTAGATATTTCGCTTTGGCTCTTACCAGCACACAAAAGCATGACGAGGTGGAAGGCAATCCCACTCCTGGAATGCCTATGTCTCAAGAACAACTACAGGAGATGTTGTGGTTTTTCCGGAGCGGAGATTGTAAGTACCATAAATAAACATGGTAGATGGTCGGGGCTGCAGGGGAAACAAACGTCTGGTTGTGAACCTTGTTGGCTAGTGGCAGATAGCAAGGAGAGTTACCCCAACCGTAGAGGATGGCCAGAAATGGTTTTCCTGTCCCGTGAGAGTTTTTCAGTTTCCAAAATTTTTTTTTTACTTGGGTGATTTTTAAAACTGGCTCTTTCCCACCAACAATTTCAGTGTTGATAAATTGTCCTTTTCCCAAAACATGTTTCATAAGAAAATTCCCGACTAGCTCTCTCCAGAGGTAGCTGCCTATGTTACAAACCTAGGTCCTTCCTTGGCTTTAGCAGGGCCTAGAATCAAGAGGCAAATACAAGTGGGATGGGGGACATCTTATTACCGAGATCTCCTTCACAGATTTCTACATCCCACTTGGAAACGGCTCCAGTGTGCTGGTTGAACTTTCTGCCCAATGGGTCTTCCAGCCATTGAAGCAAAGGTCTGTGATCATGGGCTGCTTCAGCAGAACAGGAGGCACGGATCGATGTGGGTTGACCTGAGGACATACGGTCAATCCCACGCCCACTGAGCAAAGCTCCCCTTGACTTTTGGGGTGCAGGATCAGCGTCCTAGCGCCCAACGGAAAAAGCCAGGCTATCCTGGGCTGGAGCTGGCTCCAGAGACTGGTACAAAAAACATTGGTATTAAATCCCAAAAAGAGTGTGCAGAAGAGCTCAAGCATGCCATGGAGTTTGATCTTTAAATATGAGCTTTTAATGGACCAAGTCCCAAAGTCAATGGAGTTTTGCCTGAAGAAGGACTTCAGGTCTGGACCGCTTGTGATTACTTGCTGATAACACCCCAGGACAAATAACTTCCACTCGCTGCTTCAGCCCTAGACTCCCTCCTTCTGTTTGGGTAAAAGCCCACTCACCCCTTTCGAGGTTTAATTCTGCCAGGTCCTTTACACTCCTGACAAGCAGCTGCCTTGGGGGTGCTCCTGAGTTGGGGGTCACAGCCTAGGTGATGTGTCCTCAGGAGCAGGCCACGTAAGGGCACTTTAGAGGTCCTGCAAAGTCACAGGGACTACCCTGCGAACTGTCCTGCCTTTCACAACACTTGTGAAATCAATGGGGGCAGAGGTGGCAGCGAGCCGTCGGTTTCTCAGGTCCTTGGCTGACTGATTCTTGCTCAGGCTCTGGGTCTAACTGACCGTCATAGGTGGAGTTGGGAAGGAATGTTCCCTCAGGTCAGATTGGCAGCGACCTTGGGGTTTTTTTCCCCCGCCTTCCTCTGCAGCCTGTGGATGCGGGTTGCTTGCCCCGATTACCTGGGTATGGCTCATTAACCATTTCCCTGCCATTGCAGGGACCTGGGGCAGTGGTGCACTCTCCTGTTCTTTCCCAAAGACACCCAACAGTCTAGCCTCCTGTGGGCTGTAATCCTTTGGTCTCATTTCAGTGGTTGGGTCAGTGTGTAGATGCAGAGTGGGGCTGGCGGCCTGGGATCTGCAGGAGGTCAGACTGGGTGATCTGGTGGGCCTTTCTGGCCTCAAACTCTATCACTCTTTGAAGGGAGCTCAGCACAGGCCCCTTTGCACTCCCCTAATCCTGCAGCTGGTTTGCACCAAACTCATCCACCCTGCACAACCCGGAGCACCCCCGACAGAACTTGGCTGTAACATGCTTGTCAGAATGGCTCTGCACACGCTGACTTCCCTTGTCAATGCTTCTCCCCCCCAGCATCCACGTGGAATTACTCCATTTTAGTCCTGTCCTTTGTGGTTCTGTTTCTGGGCCTCCTTCTTCTGGGAATAAATATCATGGCAAACAGGTAAGACACACAGAACTTTAGGGGTACAGGGAGGCAGTAAACCCCACTGCTGGGGCACAGGGGAGAACAAGGCCACGGAGACACTGGGGCAGCGCCTGGAGGAGGGACAGTTGTTAAACCCCGTACAGAGTGCCCCATGGATGTGCTCCTGAGCGGGACAAGGCTGTAATCTCCTCAGTGCTTGTCCTTCGAGGCAGCCAGAGTAGGGATACTGGCTTCCCCCTCCTCAGGTGCACGGGCTCTCTGCATGCGTAATGCCGACAGAACCCAGTTGTTGGTGGGTGGGATTGAACCTGGGGCCTCCGGAGCTTAAATCATGAGCCTCTCCCGCATGAGCTAAAAGCAAGCTGGCTGTTAAGCAGACTGATTTAACTCTCTCGTTAAGTGGGCTCGGTGCCACTAGCTGGGACAGAACACCACACCCAGAAGGTGTGTGGGTTACACATGCTCCCCCCGACACCTACCCATCACCAGCCAGGACACGGCCTATGGGATTTTGGTTGAGGAACATGCTATTTTAAATGGGATCTTTATTATGATTGGTTTTAAGTAGAGGTGATCCAAGAAATCATTCCAGTGGGGGTCCACACAAAGACGGGGCCATTTTCAAACCTATTCCAGTTCTTACTTACCCACTAGGTCAGGGGTCAGCAACGTTCGGCACGCGGCTCGCCAGGGTAAGCACCCTGGCGGGCCGGGCCAGTTTTATTTACCTGCCGCGTCAGCAGGTAAAT